AAAATTTCCTGATTTCCACCACAGATTCGTTCATTTCGACATCGAATTAGTCTATGTGAATTTTTTCAGATTTTTAATAGGTCAAATAAAAATTTGCATTTTCCCACCTAAGACTTCAGTACGATATAGTCACCGAGCCATCTTCGGACGGCCTAAAGTGCCAGTAAACGGCAAAAATCCACGCGAATTATCGCTTTGTCAGTAGGAAATGACACGCTGAATCGAATAAGACCATTATCAGCTCCATAGGATAGATTGTTTTCGAGATATCGGCGCTCAAAGTCAGCTATTCGCTTTTATTGCCAATAGGAGCACTCCGGTAGGCTACTACGTCTCCATTTTCCAAAATTTCCCGATTTCCACCACAGATACGTTGATTTCGACATCGAATTAGTCTATGTGAATTTTTTCAGATTTTTAATAGGTCAAATAAAAATTTTCATTTTCCCACCTGAGACTTCAGTACGATATAGTCACCGAGCCATCTTCGGACGGCCAAAAGTGCCAGAAAATCCACGCGAATTATCGCTTCTCCAGTAGGAAATGACACGCTTAATCGAATGAGGCCAGCTATTCGCTTTTATTGTCAATAGGAGCACTCCGGTAGGCTACTACGTCTCTATTTCAAGGAAATTTTGATACATGAGGATTGAGGTATCAACACTAGATCACTGATTTGACATTCACAAAGGAATTAAACGACATGATTTCAATATTGGAGAAAATATTCTGTTAACATGTCATCAGTAGATCAAAAATGATAACAGGCATGATATAAATCATTCTACAACAATATATAGAGCATTCAAAGTTGAAATCACAATATGCATAACTGAATTTCAAGTTTTTTGGAATCTCGAATTACCCTGTAGATCGGTATTCGCTCAAATATCAAAGAAATTCAAGTGATGAATCCGTCTCTGTACCGATTTCATGAACAAACTCTCCTAAATTTTTTACATATGATTAGGATAACTTTGAAAATATTCATTTTTTTAATGGGTCAATGTTTTTCCCTGCATATCTAAAAACACAAACTTCATGGACAGAGTCGGTAGACCATCGCATTCTTGAACGATTAGTACACAATAAGGAACAAATCGTTCCAGAATCGGACTAGTATTTTTTATAATATTTGATATAGAAATTAAGTGAAATATTCAGGTGGACCAAACCATTTGTCACGCAGTTTATATTTCAAATTGTATCTCATTCACATAGGTTAGTGACCTGTGTGTATTTGGAACTCCATCTGCAGGTCTTATAACAATGCTGATTTTGGACTTATTATGTAAACTACATCCTTTTTCATATTTCTAGACTGACACCTGGTAATCCTGGTATTCTGGTGGCTCTCAATACAGGCGAATCGAAGGCAACTGTCAACTTCCGTCAAGTGCCGGCACTCTCGGAAATCGAGGAGGTTTCTATACAGCATTATAGCAAGAACTTCAATGAGACGGAGTATATGGCGTTGAAGTGAGTGAACTATTTATTTCGCGTACTCCTGGGAACTTTGTTGATTATTGTGATATGAGTCGAGCATTCGACTCTGTTCAACATGATCTTTTATTGAAAAAACTCTACAATTTGGGCATCCGAGGAAATATTCATGAATGGTTTGAATCTTACCTCAAAAATCGCACTCAGAGCGTAAAGATATTCCATGAAGTAGACAATGATCGACCTCATTTCATATCATCCCAATTACATAATAAAATAGGCGTACCACAGGGTTCTGTGTTGGGACCTGTCTTGTTTAATATTTATATAAATCAATTACCTGGAAGGAATGAGTATACTCTACAAACCACTATTCACTCCAGTCTCCAAAATCTCTCCTGCTGGTTATCAAATCATTCTCTATTCCTCAATCCATGCAAAACCTCATGCATGCGATTTCAAATACGTCAAAATGATAGTAAGCATAAGCTAGATATTCAAGTCAATGATAAGGTTATATGTAGAAGCATCAAATTGTGTGAAATTTTTAGGGTTCACTTCGGACAGTAACTTGAAGGTCACAACACATTGTGATAATCTCATGGAGAATTTGAATACGAAAAGCTACCAGATTAGGGTTTTGAGAACTGGTTTGAACAAAGAGGCACTATTATTATTTTACCATGGTCAAATTCAGTCTCTATTGATATACGGCATTTTGATTTGGGGTAGCTCATCTTCTATGCAATATGTTCTATGCATTGCCAGTGCTTCTATGAAATCTTCCTTTATTATTCAGAGAATATAATATTCTGTCAATGTATGGTTTATACATTCTGGAATTACTAGTTTATATACATAAAAATGTTGAACGATTTGCAAAAAATGAAACCGTTCATAATTATGACACTAGGATAAAGAGACATCTCCACATGCCCAAAAATCGTTTGTCATTTTGTCAAAAATCTTACCAAACCATCGGTCTTAGGCTATATAATATAATTCAAAATGAAGATTAACTCCGTGATATTGACGATAGTCCCTTATAGTATTGAAGAGTTCATTGATTATTTCAGATGTGGCTTGTTCAATGTCAATGTTAGGTCTATTATGTGTGTTGTTTGTTTGTTTTTTTATACCAATGTATTTATTTTTATCTGCAATAGGGTATACGCGTGTGAAAATTTCACACTGGAATATATTTTTGTTCCATTACTCATATGTATAGATGTCGAATTATACATCCGAACAACATTATTAAGCACCGAATATTTAATAATTTCTGATTGAAAATCATAATATTTGCAACTTTCCGACCAACAGCCGAACTGCAGCGATGATTTCCGACTGGATGTGTCTGTTTTTATTTGTCATGTCAAACATTCATGTCCGAAAGATTGAAAAGAATATAAGAAGAGAAAGTGAGGTTATGATTATCTGAGCTTGTAGTTTCTATAATCTATCTCAATTATATGATCTCAATATTCTGAATAATAATAACTGAATAATAAGCAAATATCTACAATAAGAATGATCAAACAGGACTTCTTTTTGCATGTTGTTTCAAATATATATTACCACCTATCAATTTATATCTCATATAGTTTTCCATATCTTCTTCAAGCTGAAAACGAAATCACATATTATATTATTCTCCTAATAACATGAGGAACATAATCATTGATATATAATGGGTTTCACTAGGACATACTTGAACTTCGAAATGGTCTTCACAAACAAATCCTCTGGTTTTCTCGGATGAATCATTTCTATTTATGGCTTGCAACCATAATTTTCTTTTCTCTTAATTTTTATCACTGGATCCCACTGGCAATGAAAGGAATATTTTTCCTGGTGATACTTTTGTTGATGAAAGGCATTGCGGCACTAAACAGTATTTGGTATAAACATTATCATTTTCCATTTTCAAATTTCAAATTTCTGGCGTTTAAAACTGTTTTCTTCTCCTACCTCTTCTTCTTCTTTTTTTTTCAATCTGAATCTTGTCATTCTGTCGCGCTAGTCTACGGCTGTCCGGCCTAATACTATGACGTCATAATATTAGTGATGGCCACTAACTCGTTTTCCTGTGACTTCATATTTGGCCTCATTTAAATGAAATTTTTTAGATTCACAAGCAAATTTGAGATTAATTAATGATATCCAATGTTATTATAAGGAGGAAGGAATATAATTTCGATTAAACAAAAAATCATGCGTATTCCTTATTCCTGTATGAATTGTTTCATGACTTGTCCCATAATTTGTATAAGTTCTTTGGAAGTGGACCAATAAATCTATCTATCTATTTTATCTCCTTCTTTTTCAGTGCGAAGAAGGATGCCACTACTGTGCCGATATCTCCAAAATCGGCTATTGTACTTTCTTATGTGCCCAAAAAGAAAGATGAATAATTCAAGAATGATTGTATTAGGAACATTCCATGGCATCCGCATCTCTGTAGTATTATAGCATTCACAAAATGTATGTGAAGTCAATAAAGTCATCATCAATTATTTATTTGATCTTATGTGGTATGGTAGAAAGTATTTTTTTTTCATTTTATAGATGGAAAAGTATGAGGAGGGATTATTCATGGAAATGGTGATTGATAAACTACTCTGGGTGATCCCATATAGGACAGATCAATTGGGGAAAGGACCAATCGCTTCCTTGAATTATTGTTAAAAAAGTGTTAATTTTAACGGGAGACCTCCCAATTTGATCTGCAAATTCCAATTCTCCACCCTGTAGTGTTTCAGCTAATTTTTGTAAATCGAAAGTTCACAATTCTCATAAATTATTGAGGAGAACAATTAAAGCATATGAAAAGGGGATTTATATGAATTCATGACCCTAGATTGTTGGTGACACTGTATATTGAATTCATTTCACCGCTCCGTATACCTATCGAAATTAATCGGTTAGAAGACTGATTAGTCATTAAGATAGTGAATCAACATCACGCCATGCACTACCTATACTCAGTCTCTTTTTCGATTGCATCGCCTACGGTCGATTCAAATAAATTCAATTGAAAAAAAAAGAACTCGTGTGTGTATGTGTATATGTTTGTGTGTTTGTTTTTTTGAGTGAAAAGGCTTTTGGCATTTGATATTTTTCAAACTGGTAAGTGTTTTTATACTGTCTGTAGGTTAATCGAGGAGGTGGCACGTTTTTGGTTGTTTTTCGTAATTTTTAATAACGTTTTCTTTGAAATACTCCATGAATATATTGCTCAAAATTGAAGATATAGTGGTGGTAACGGGTGAGCCCATAGCCATGCCAAAACAAAATATGCAGTTTTTAGGCATAATTCCGAAAATTCCTTCGATACTCAGATTGGTTCAATTAGTAAGAGTTTCATCATCTTCTAATTTATGTTTCACTATTTGTAAAGTTTTATCTATAGGAAAATTTGTGAATAAACTTACTACATCAAAACTAATAAGATTGTCATTTATATCCAATGTGATATCGTTCAATTTTTCTAAGAAATGATGAGTATTTCTAATAAAACTCTCACTCTTACCTGAAATAGGATTGATAATATTAAAAAAAAATTTGCTAAATTTTGACATGGAGATATCCAATTGAACTCACTATGCATATTCAAATATATTGAAATAATACGCATATTTTTATTTTATAGAAACGAGGAGAAAATCCCAAAAAATCAAGTAAAATGAATGTACCACCTCCTCGATTAACCTACAGATAGTATTCAAAGTCGTCATTGCTATCATAGGATTTCAAGGTCGTGCTGCTTCTATTCGAGGGCTATCACTTGTCAAGCGTTGTCGGTTGAATTTCGCAACACCCTGTATATTGAATTTCTTTTCACCACCCCCACCCCGTAAACATACTATCGACACAGTTTATGTGCTATCGATATCGATATTAGTCATACTTGTTCGGGAATTGAACGGTTGAAAGGATGACGTAACCAATTAGTCATTAGGATCACAGGATGATCAATCAGCAGTCTCGTTCTAGATTTTGTCGTGTACAGTCGATTCGAGTGGTATAACAAAGAAAACTAAAATTCATCTTCGGTTTAGTGATTGTATTTTCATTCGAGTGTGTGATAGTTCTTTTTTCAAGATGGTACCTACCTGAGTGTTTTTGTAGGCATATGCGAATATGGAGCTGTATTCATCTCGTGGAGTCCTGGTTGGTATTTTTCTTCGGTATATTCACATATAACGATGAAAAAATTTGAAATTCGCTTTCTTATTAACAGAGGAACTAGATGAATATTGATGCAACAAGTTGCGAAAATATTCGCCGTTCTGTCTGAAATAATTCGCTTTGTTTACATATACAGAGGTAGGTTTCAGTAGAGTCACGGTTTCAGCATCTTCATTCTTTTGAAGTAATCAAATATCTGTCGTCAGTCTAATTCTGTGATTTGATTTTGAAAAATCGCAAATTTTGTGTCATTTTGGTAATTTCGAGGGTAGGTAATTTACGTAAACGAGAAGTCGAATGAAAGATAAAAGGACTTGCAGTTCTTTCTCGGGGACGGTGTTATTGGCTTATTTTTCGAAACTTATAGCACAACAAAAGACATCAACAATGTATATACATGGTGTCTGTAAAAGGTTGGGACATATGGCTCGGCTGTGGACTCCTGGGATAAAAACAAGTTGATTTAGGCCAACTTACATATCCAAAATCTCCTCTTTGAGTTGGCACACGGCGTGTAAAGTCGATTTTTCTGGGAAAAAATAATTTTGCTCATAAAAAGAGTAGGCTGTGATCGATTTCTATAATTTCTGTAATCACGTTTTGAAACATTTTTGATCATGATCAGTGACCTGCAAGTGTTTCAAACAACCATGTTGCCGTACAAATTCGGTGATAACTTTTCAGAGTTCAGACTAAAATCGCGTACGGTTGAATTTTGTGATAGGCAATATACGCGAAAGGAATTGATTATCATTCCAAACAGAGTGTTCACTAAAAAACGGATGTGTTGTTTTGGTTTTTATTTAGTGCTGTGGAAGCTTTCATACAAATTCATTGTTTTCACGCTAGTGAGTGTTTTTTTTTTCATTATTTTATTATACCATCATTTTTTTAAAGCATCGAATATGCTCACTAGAGGGCCCTTTATTCTCACATTTCAGTTTTTTTTTTTCATCATCCGGTTTTCCTGGAAATGACACTACACTATGGTCTACATTTCCAATGCTGCCAGAACTCGAGAAATTTTTTTCTGATCAAAAGTCGGTCATATTATGATACACTGGGACCTCATCTCGGGATATTTTCGTGATTTCTCCTTAATTGGCCATTGGAACAAAAATTCGATTTTTTTTCGAAAGTCTTGCATTTCTTGATTTTTTTCTCTAGAACTCCACTTGAGCTGACTATTGGGAAGAACTATTCTCATGTTTCGTGGAGGATAATGAAAGACGAAAAAAGCACTTCTTTGGAATATACAGGATGATAAGAAAATAGGACAAAATCTCATTTCAGTGAAAAAAATCAAAAATGGTGACTAAAACTATGGCCCATTCGATCCAGTATATTCAGAAACGGCCTTCTCGATATCCATTATTCATATTAGACTATTAACTCGAGACTTTTTCGAAAATTCGCCTCTAATTGAAATACAGAATGAAAATTTCAAACTTGTTTCCTAATATCGATGATTTCCAATATTTATTGCCCAAGTATGAGACACGGAGTATTGTTGTTCAACATACTGAGTGTTTTAAAACTTATCTGACAAATTTCAACCACAACTACGATATTACATAAGAAGTCTATCACAAAAAATTTTTATAGAAGTAAAACGAGATGGAAAATAAAATTTGTAAAACTTTTATATCCACTGATATCATTATTAGTCATAGACTCGGTCATAGATGAAGCATTTGTTCGGAAATTAATCGGTTAGCAGAATGATTCAACTTATTAGTCATTCATTCGGGATCAGTATGGTTAATCAAGACAGTCTCATATTAGATGTCATCACGTCCCAGACAGCACTGGATATTCATAGAATATTCTCTAAATATGCTAAAAAGGAGGAGTATATTCCGAATATTCATCGATTATTCCTAGAATATATACATGCCTCTGGAACATCTAAAAGGAATATTCCAAAGTGATGTTCAGGGAATATTCAGGTATGAATCTTCCAGGAATATTCCCAACTGAATATTCTTTTTTGTATATTCATGAAATATACCCAACTGAATATTCTGTGCGGTATATTCATGAAATATACCCAACTGAATATTCTGTGCGGTATATTCATGAAATATTCTCAACTGAATATTCTGTGGTGTATATTCATGAAATATTCCATGAATATTCCTATGTTTCTCAACACATAAATACCATTTATTATTTCAGAGATGTGAGTATCGAACATCAATTAGATATAAGGGAATTTTGAAACAAAAAGTGTTTATGATCCGATTTCGAACAATGCTCTCACAAGAACTTGATTTTCGATTATTCAATTCGATTACTGGCCTAGTGGTCAAGGCGTTGCTCTGATAGTCTCGAGGTCACGAGTTCGATCCCTACTTTGGGTCACTTTTTTTTATTTTAGAATATGTTTATTGGAATATTCCAGGAACATTCAACATAGAATATTCTTCTGGGTACCTATATTCTATGATTATCTGAGGAATTCCCATTCGCATATTTAGAGAATATTCCACAGATATTCCGGAATATTCCAGATTATTTCTAGAATATTCCAATATCCCAAAAGGAATATGATAGGGAGATTCATGGAATATCTGGTGCTGTCTGGGGTACGGTCGAGTTTTTTGACAGGCATTGAAAAATACGCGAAAGGAATAATTAATAATCATTCCAAACAGAGTGTTTTCACTTAAAAATGAGTGATAGTATCGTGTTTTTGTGTTCCTCATTCAAATCAGTGATGACATAATCGTGTTCGTGATCCTGTGTTGTTTTGGTGTTTCCTACTGTGGAAAATAAAAAATTTCAAACAATGAAATAGTAGAAGTGGACTATTTTATACAAAATTCATTTTGTTTTCACACTGGTGAGTGTTATTTTCATTATTTTATTATAAGTGATATACTGACACAGAGTCATGGTATTTATAAACCATGGCATTGAAAAATACAAAGAAGGAATTGATTATCCCTGTAATTGTTATCACCAACAGATTGTTTACTGAGAAATGGGCATACAGTGCTTCCCCAAAGTACTTAATGAATTCTTTTTCCGTCGACCCCTACAAAAAATCACATTTCACGTTCTAATTTCCGAACGAAAATGATTATTTTTTATTCATATGATTTGATATGTGATGTTGTTGCAGGTCCGAGAAGCACAGTGTTTGATACTTGACACAAAATCCGAGAAAACCATCCAGTCAAGCCGAACTTAAGAAACGATCCACAAAGAAAAATGACCA